TGAAACTGTCGTGTTATTGTTTCCCAAACTCACTTTGTTTCCTCAGGCGACGCCGCCTAACTGATAGACTCCTCCCTGTCTGGACTCCCGGCCCCTCCAACATCACGTCGACCTGGATCACTGAGGAGTCGGACATCGATCTCCACGGTTACCAGGATGACAACGGTTTCCCCAGCCCGCACCAGCTGGACTCCTTGGACAGCGGAGATGAAATTCACTACTGCGATATTCATGGTTACTCAAACCTGGCGAGGTCAGAGGTGAAGATCAGCAGTTGTCCCAGGATGTCCTCCCTCTCGCCACCTTCCCCTCCATCTCTTGGTTACACACTCTTCTCACAGAGACGCTCCACACTCAGTTTGGACTGGGACACCCCTCCTGGCGAGCATGGTTTGATCCAGAGCCCGTCCGGCTCTGTTCTGTCTCCTGCGGTGGTTTCAGCCCTGGAGGGGGTCACCTACATCGCAGAGCATCTGAGAGCAGAGGATGCAGACTTCTCGGCAAGTGTCTTTGCTTTTTGTTTATAAGAGACTTCATTATTATCATTTAGCGTCTCGTCCTCTTCTCATCTCTTTTGTCTCTACAGGTGAAGGAGGACTGGAAGTATGTAGCCATGGTCGTAGACCGGATCTTCCTGTGGATGTTCATCATCGTGTGTCTGCTGGGGACGGTCGGTCTCTTCCTGCCTCCGTGGCTCTCTGGGATGATTTAGATTTACACCTAATGTCAAAAGAAAACAAATATTAAATATGAATGTCTTGTCAATTAATTCTAAATAATAAAATCAAGCCTCTATTCAGGTCAACATATTCAAATGTGAGGCGACTGTGTAGGGGACAGACGCCACAAAATAATGATAAATACAAGAAAAACTATTTTCAGTGTGAAAATACACTTTTATTTGAAACTTTAAACAGTTCATAATCTTACCAGCTGGGGGCAGCAACATCACATATTACATCACTCTGGTTTCTTGATTCATATTCAACATTTTGTTTCTGTGTCCTTTCATTGAATTGAATTGAATTTTGTGTAACTGTGCAACTTTGTGAGAGTTTATTTAAACGTGTTAATGAAATGCCAGAGAAGAAAATGGACCAGAGGCCACTTAAACAACTGGTTCTGCACCTCTGCAGTGTGGAGCACAGACAGACACTGATTTATATTGTTACATGAATGACTCATAATAAAGTGATTATTTGTCTCAGATGACTCAAGTGGTGCAGTGGGTCTTTCTCAGCGTTATCTACCAGATTTAGATTGTTTATCTCATTTGAAAAGAAGAGGAGGGTGAGTGAAGAAGGTCATCCGTGAATTATCTCTTCCAGGATCCATTACAATTACTAGACTCAACATTGGTCTTACAACACGACAGTAAATATACTTTTTAATACCGCAGCCCTGTGTGTTACAACTTGACACATATTTGCATGACGGTCACTTTAAATATCTGTAAGGTCAGACCTTATTCTGTCCTGGAGGTTTACTCACAGACAAGTTTAGCCCCTAGTGACGAAATTCGAAGAAAATTCTTAGTATTGTGACGCTTTTTTTTCTGATAATTTTCCTCTAAAAGTTAAAACCAGATCCTAGTAAAGATAAGTGGTTCTCAAGAGTCACAGCCACAAAGCTCCTCAGGTGAAAAACTCTTGGTTTAACGTCAATACTCACATTTCTCTTTCTCAGATGTCTGTTAGCTGAAGCATTCATCAAGTAGACGAACATTACATGATAATTAATAAAAACTACCGACCAGCATGTGAACAGACTGCTGCAGAGAAGCCCTCTGTTTTTAAACCCACTTCAAATGCATGACTTCAACAGATATGATCTGAGTGGCCTTTTCATAGTTACACCATGTTGTGATAGAGACTACAGTGAATGAATGAGACTATAGGCAGGTTTCATGTTCACAAACATTAATGGGACCTGTCACATCCAGTGGTGGTAGCAGGTCACAAGATTGTTGTCGACTGTGATTAGAGCCTGGTGGAATTCAATAACAACGTTGGCTAATGTGAGACAGTCATGTATGTATCGCTATCGGCAAATATACACAGATATGAAACTGTTTGTGTATTTATGTTTAGATCTTAAACAAGAAGTTCTTTATATATTTTGTTGTGTTTGCTCCAGTTGATCAATAATGTGTTTATGGCTAAACTGTACATTTATATGGAGATGTATGAAAATCCTGTTTGCTGCTTCCGGAGCCATTTGTCATGTGTAACTGATCCTGATGGGAAACTCTAAACACGTCACAGAGAACAGATGATAAACAAATATGAGTCAGTCAGTTTCCTATAAACTGTTTTCTTCATCAGTGTCAGTGAAAAACCACCATAACTTCATTTATCCAGAGCTGAAACAGCTAAATGTTCTCTGTGAGCTAACGGCTAAATGTTCACTGTGAGCTAACAGCTAAATGTTCACTATGAGCTAACGGCTAAATGTTCACTGTGGGCTAAAGGCTAAATGTT